GGGGCGGAGCGCGGGCGGTACCCGCAGCCCCGGGAGCTTGGCGGCGGCGGCGGAGGGTCCCCATGGCCCTCCCGGCGGAGGCGGCCCGGCTGGATGGGGGCTGGCAGGAGGTGAGCGAGCCCCACCGACACCGGGACCCCCGGGGGTAGAGGCTGTCCCCTCTCCGGGGACACTGCCCGTCCCCTCCGTGCGCTCCCCTTCGTCCCCGGCCAGCCCCGCTCCGTGCCCTGCGGTACCGGCAGCCCTGCCCGCCCCTCTCCCGGGGGCTGCGGGCTGGGACCGACCCCCCGTACCCCCCGGTCCGTGTCGTGCTGAGCGGGGCCCCCTCCTTCTCCCCAGGTCTACTCGGCTCTCCAGTGGATACAGTTCACCATGGCCATGCTCAGGTACAACGCGCTGCTAAACCCGCGTCCCCGGGATGGAGTTACTGTTGCAACGATGATTTTCTCCAGAAAAACAGAGAAAACGCTTATCCCAGCGAAACAGATGTGCTCCCCTTCCAACCTGTGCTTTGTTTTCTCAGTGTTATAGGTTCCAGCTCAATTATTGCCTATGCCATCTTTCAAAATGTGGTGCGGTCCCCCGAGGTAAGGACTGCGCCTCCTTTGCCCTCCCTAAATTGGGGTGTCAGTACCTTGCAGGTGGGACACGCAGCCCTGGGTGGGTGAGGAGCTAGGCTAGGAGCAACTGCAGGTCTCAGGTTGTTGTGGTTAAACCTCGTTAAACAGCCGGGAGGGAGGCAAAGGGCTTGCCAAGAGTTTGGCACTTGGTCTGTGATATGAGTTGAAGGGACTAACCTTGAACTGCACCCACGCAGGGAGAAGTGGGTTCCTCAGCTGCCACTTCAGGGATGTCCTCCAGTCATTCCTGGGAATGCCCATCTGTTAGCGTGTCCTCCTCTCCAGGGCAAAACACCTGGAGGGCTGAGGAGCTGCATATGAAGCTGCTGAAGTGGAAGTTGAAGGTGCCCCTGTAGGAAATGCATTTACAAGTGTCCGTCTCTGGGTATCTCCGAGAAGTTTTTCCAGGCAGGTGCACTACTAAACCTGATACAACTCAAAGATGCTGCAAAGTTCAGACAAATAGAGGACAGGCTGAAAAGCAGTTTGTTGTGCAGGGCTCCACAGTGGGGCTTTGGAGGATTCACCCTGGCTGTGCACAGGAGCCATGAACATTTCTAATGCTGAAGTAGGTGAAGCTTGCAGGGTGCAAATGTCCCTCAGGGTGGGACCATCCACATGTGCACTGCAGATCTGACATGGATACAGTGCTCGGGACATCCCGAGAGCATCACACGTGTGGAACCCCACATGTCTGGGATGTACCAGATGTGGCTGGCACATGCACAGTGACCGTGCATGTGCCATCCCAAGCCTGCCAGGCTTTTTTTTGCTGTCCACACACAGTCCCTCTGTCTGTCCCCCGGGGACTTACCCAAGGGGGTGCATGGAGCTGATCTGTGTGAAGCTGGGGTTTGTTGTCCAGGATTTGCAGGTGTCTGGCAGCCCAGTCTCTGGACCAGGTTACTGCCATGAGCAGTAGGACAGTGGTAGCTATGTGGTAACCACATTGTGTTTGTACTTCCCTTGTCTTTGATAGTCTTTGTACATCGTGGGTTTGATCTGCAGCCCAGAGGACAGGACTTCTAGGGAATGCAGTGAGTTATCCTCAGAGAAGGAAGGCATGCAATCAAGCTGAACACTGACACATGGTTGGATGCAGCAGGGTGGGGAGGAGGACATCAGTGCAGGTTTGCAGGGCAAATTTGCAGCACTTAAAGCGTGCAGGGCAGCCTTGCTCTCAGGCAGCTGGCTTCCTGGAAATGCTCATCCCAGGACATTGAGCTGCAGAGATCTCCATGCATTCCCAGGGAGGAAGGAAGGTTGGAACTTCACCTTAAGTGCTGGGGTGGAAACCCTTCCCCAGTTTGTGCTGCACAAGGTGCATATCAAAGGCTCCCTCTACCACATCTCCTGCACCTGGAGAGCTCCAGACAGGTTTCTCTCCTGGGGTCCTCCACTCTGGTATGATATGGAGCTGGGTTTGGCAGATGTCCCGATGTGACTCAGCAGCCTCAGCCCGTTTACTTCCATGGCTAGCAGCCTGAATTACTCAGGAGCCCTTCTGCTATTAGTCATATGATGTGGCTGTGGCTTGGGAGCTGTCCTCTAGCTGCTTGTGAGCCACGCATGGCTCCAGGTCACAGATGGACCTTTCCTGCTCAAGGGAGCCCAGATGTTTCTGCTCAGATTATTACTGCAAATCCGGATAGGAGGGATAGCTACCAGCTGGAGCGACTTGTCTGCATCAGGCTCCCAGGCTCTTGTTCTGCTGCCAGGGGAGATCTGGTGCTGGTGTTTCAAAAGTGGCAAAATCTTCAGTAACTTCCCCATCGCCTTGTCCCCATGTTTCTGGTCGTAAGTGGAAATTTGTAAACAAAGGGGCTGGACGAGATCCATATCAAAGCTTGCCACAAACAGCTTATTCCCCAAGTCATGAGGCTCCAGGGTAAAATGTTTGAAAATAAACAGCTCTGGAGGCTGGGAGGAGAACAATGTTATAAAC